AACTGGTGCGAGAGCTCTTCAGAGTGGCTGAGGAACATGCTCCGTCCATTGTCTTCATAGATGAGATTGACGCTATCGGCACAAAGAGGTGAGTATGAAGGGTTTTGCTCACCAAGGCTGCATTTGTTTGATCAAAAATACAGTAAAGATGATAAAGACCAAACTCTATATGCTCCTCTTCATTACTAAAACATACATAACTAATATGTGCAGGTGAGCCCAGAATAAATGCAACACGCAAAGTTTCGCGTTAAGCGTTTTTCCATATAGAATAAACCATCTACAGCTCTTTTATATCATTGTCTTTGTCCATTAAGCTATATTACGTGTTTTATTTATAATGGTTTTCTATGGGAGGAAAATGTTTAACATGCAATTTAACGCAGTGCGTTCTGGGCTCGTCTGCTTGCCTGTACGGAGTTGATCCTTTTAATAGGCCTATCACATAATGCATTTCATAATGCACGTTCATATCTGCTGGTCTGTACTGTGTCAACAACAAGACTTATAGGCTACTGAATTGTCTTTATCATCTTAGTCCGTTATTATGCCACATTAAGCGTTTTGCTGTAAAGGAGGACAAGTGAAAATTTGCGCATTATGTTCATGGCCATCTGCTTGCCTTGTAGTACATTAAATAATAACTATATATCGAATTTGATCTTTTAATTGCACTTAATGTATCTTAATACATTAAGCCATATTAAGTGTTTGTTTTTCTACAGGAGGAAAACGCTTAACGAGAGACTTTGTGCATTGCGTTCATATTTGGCTGTTCTGTGGCCACGGATTTGCGGGTCTTGCTTTTTCTTGCAGGACCCTGTACGTTATAGTACTAAATTAGTTTTAATAATTTAATCACCATCACAGCGTCTTGTCTCCATTGGCAACACACACGATTTGTGTCGATTGCAAGTGACGTCGCAGGTAGCGGAGAGTGCAAGTGGCGATTGCAAGTGACATTGTAATTTAGTTTATTTTTTCTTGTCTTCATCACCTGGCTACTGTTGTAAAATGTTGAGAGATTCAAACAAAAACAAAAAATCAATAAATAGAACAAAATAAAAAAGACTGCAAGTGACGTCACTTGCGGAAGCGCAAGTGTCTGAGAGTGCAAGTGCAAGTCTGCAGCCAGACCCTTTTGGGTTTTGGCAGCAAAAGAGGGACCAACACAATATTAGGAAGGTGGTCATAATGTTATGCCTGATCGGTGCATATGTATGTAGTTATAAAACAAACTAATTAAAATTCTAAATATTGAAATGTGTGCATTTTTTTACATTTTAAATGTATTATTTACACAATACTTGTACTTTTTTTTTTTTTTTTACACATTACATACTTATTTACCCAATATTCACTCATAATTCACAAAAAAAACAAAGCTGTTGGTAGATTTTTAGACTAACACTGACAAAATGTATGCTATGCTGTATACTAGCTATGCGATATATAATTCCACTATATAAAAAAACAAAACATTTCTCTGTGGCCCCAGGTGTGTGTATATCGGGTACAGACTAGATTGTTTTTATTATAAACAGCGATAAACACTGACATTTGGATGTTGTTTCTCTGCAGGTATGAATCTAATTCAGGAGGAGAGCGTGAGATCCAGAGAACAATGCTGGAGCTGTTAAACCAGTTGGATGGATTTGACTCACGCGGAGACGTTAAAGTCATCATGGCTACTAATAGGATTGAGACACTTGACCCAGCTCTCATTAGACCAGGTGAATTAGTTAGCTTACCATGTTTTTTTCACATGCTAATTGAATCAAAGTGGACTCACTGGCCAGACACAAACATCTGATGTCACAAACATTAGTGTGAGAGTTTCCTTTGTTTTAAAGTGCACATAATTGGATGAAGCACATTACTTTGTAGACTAAAATTAGGTGTTTCCTTTTTGTGATTCTACAGGTAGAATCGATCGTAAGATTGAGTTCCCACTGCCGGATGAGAAGACCAAGCGCAGAATCTTTCAGATCCACACCAGCAGGATGACGGTAGCAGGTGACGTGACTTTGGACGACCTCATCCTGGCTAAAGAGGACCTCTCCGGTGCTGATATCAAGGTAGCATCAAAGGGCCATTTAATTAAATAGATGCATAATCTTATGCAATTTGATTACACAGAAAAACATTGTCTTGCAGAACAAGGTAATGTGGTTCATTTGACCTTGTCTGACTAATTTACAATTTTAATTTAGGTTTAATGGACCCCAAAAATGAACATTCCGCCATTATTTATCCACCCTAATGTTGTTCAAACCTGTATATGACGATTGTTGGTAAACAAATAGTTTTAGTTCCCATTGACACCCATTGTATTTGTTTGTCCCTACAATAAAAGTCAATGGTTACCAACATTCTTTAAAATGTCTTTTTGTGTTTCACCGAAGAAAGTCATACAGGTTTAGAGCAACATTAGAGTGAGTAAACAATGGAAGAATTTTCATTTTTGGCTGGACTATCCCTTCAGTGCCTCAGATATTAATTACAACATGAACAAAGGCCATGAATGATTGAACAAATTTGTATATGCACTTCATTGTGTTTAATAGTGATTTTATGTGTTTTTGTTCCAGGCCATTTGCACAGAGGCAGGGCTGATGGCTCTGAGGGAACGGAGAATGAAAGTTACTAATGAAGACTTCAAAAAGTCTAAAGAGAACGTCCTGTACAAGAAGCAGGAGGGGACACCAGAGGGGCTCTACCTTTAACATGTCATTATACAGTCTTACACCTTTTTTTGTTTGTTAAACATTAACTATTAATTCCTGACTTAACCCTCTGTTGTTCGTTTGTGCTCAATGCCAATTAAATATTTCAGTTCACTGAGTTTCTCTGAGCCTTTCCTGAATTCTCTGACGATTAAAGCCTGAGATCTACCTGTCATTGGTTTGGGTTTGGATTACTATTTTGTGGAACGTTTGAGACCTATTTTCTACTGATGAACTTGAATAATTACAGAGGCCGAAAATTAATTTTCAGTTTGGGCTGAAATAGTTTTGGAAGGTCGAAATCATTGGCTGTAAACTTCACGTTTAATCAATAGTGTCAATAGTGTCTGTTTCCTGCACACAACATAAGTTACAAAAGGTAAGCATGTCAGCTGTGAGACGCAGGGCTTATAATATAGATTTTTAGTTTTTAATATACTCTCATTTTGATGATATATGACCTTTTATAATCTGTGCCTTTTTTCAGTTGATGTGTAAACAAAACTTTACTAAACCGCACGCCTGGCATCCAATAACTGCAGTGAGCTTGTTTCTTTGTTGTTGTTTTTATAAGAAACAAAGAATAAGCTTTCAAATTTTGTCAGTTTTATAATGAAATTTAAACAACAAATGTCCATTTTGATGCCATTAAATGTGGCGTGAGATTCAAACGGCAGTCAACCGATCATCTCTTCCTCTTTACTACTAGTTTTAACGTGAAATGAATATGACTGAATATCCAAAGTATGTTGAAGGATACTACAACTTTATGAAATGTATCAAGTAATCGCTTAATGAGAGTTTTAACTGCAGAATTACGTCAATAAAACAGCTTCTAATCAATTGTCACGCAACTTTACCTTTACCTCAGGAAAGCAATGTAATGTTCATAGCTCGTTAGCTAGATTTTTTTTTAAATAACAACAGAGGAGCATTTTACTAAATATATACAATAGATTACATATTCATTATATTTTTACTTAACCTGTTGTCTTCATTATGTCTGGAAAAAATCTGTCATAAGGCAGGTTTCATTACAGCCACAGCTGAAATGTTTACAGGGATATCTTGTTTTACACAGTTTATAATTTCCCCTGGGTTAGTAATTTAAAAAATAGTTTAGGTTTTGAGACTTCACACTGTAAATCATTAAAACCTGGATTCATGTTCGCATTTGTATATTTATGGCCTATTAATTGATTTGTTGAAGACTACAACATAATTACATATTTCTCTTAAAGGGATAGTTCCCTCAAAAATGAAAATTGAGAAGTTGAAAACCTGAAAAGTTTGTGTAACACAAAAGAAAATACTTTGAAGAATGTTTATAATCAAACAGTTGCTGGTTCCCATTTTTATTTTTTCTATTTTTTTCTCCATACCAAGGAAGTCAATGGGGACCAGCAACTGTTTGGTTACCCACATTCTTCAAAAATGACGTAGTTGTGTTCAGCACAAGAAAGAAACTCATACAGGTTTGTCACAAACATTAGGCTACATTTTGAGATATAAACTGAAATCTGCCCCCGCTATAAAAAGCACATTGACTGGAGAAGTAATAGAAATTAACTCGTCAAATGTGGCAGAAACCCTGTACAAAGTGTACAGTAGTTAATGAAGCATGCATGCATTGTTTGAGCAGGTTCTGTATTGCCAAACAACTCACCATGATATTCTAGCAGCATATTGTTTGACTTGCAATGCTTTGGCATGACTGTTTTGGTTTTTCAAAATAACCTTTCAGGGTTAATGTGTAGTCTAAAAAGTTATCATTGAAATTGCAAATAGACATGGTATAGCAATGAATTTGCTATTGCAACGTCCTTACATAAAACAAAAAGCTGCAATGAGCATTTCTCATATGGGCATGTGTAGTTTGTATGTAGGAAATCACACGTTTTGTTTTGTTTTGAAGTTTTATAATAGTTTCATAGTTGGACATTCAAAACACTTAGGTCTTCAATATCACCAAGTTTGGTCTCCACCTTATATAGCAAATATACCATAGTTTAGCAGAACCATCACATAATTTAAAAAATAAAATAAAACATGAGGATGTGAGATGTGAGAAGGACCGAACACAAATACAGGAGGTGATGAGATGAAAACGGGGAAAAACAAAGCAGTTAACCGGTTATATTAGCACTGCAAAAACACTCCACAGACCTCTCGTAATGTTCACTTTGGTCTACATCAAGTCTTTGAATGTGATGAAAAATCTGTGGTAGACATTTTACAAAAGACAAACGACACACACAAATACACAACTGAAAGAGTGAATGGACCACATTGAAAAAAGCTGAAATAATGTTCCCTTCCAAAAAGGGCATGAAATCTCATCCAACGGACATAGTAAACTGACACATGCCTCTTTTTCTTTGCAGCGTAGTTCAAAGATGAGACGACAATGTGAGTGGAAAAGCATTCATTTCTATGGCTCACAAACTATTATTCAGATAAATACAGAAAATCTGTTAGAAATCGAGTTAAAATGTCCACTTGCGTTCTCCTCGTAACGACGGCTTTATTTAGAAAAGCAATCGTCACAGTCATACGTGTGATTCGTAGATAATGCTCATTTTCAAACATATAGTGAATTATGTTTTAGTAATCTCAGTCTAGTCACGCTACACAAATAGAAATAGACATCTGCGTCGGTTCTGTTACAAACTGAACCGGACGTTTTAAAAAGGGTGCTTAAATTGCTGCAATTTACCTATTTAAATATCTTTTTCTCGCCAACTCCTTCCTCCTCTTTTTCTTAAATCACTATAAGCATTGAAACAGCAAATTAAAAACAACACAAACGAAAGCAAAGAACATACTCTGTTAAGACAAATACAATCATGATTGCATTCCTTTATTTTGCAACAAACCCAAATTAATTGTCGCATTAGGGACAAAAACCAAAAAGGAAAGCTCGGGTTTGTCTTTCGGTCGGGGCTAGAGGTGTGTGTTTGTGTGTTTCTGTGTGTTGGGGAACGCAAGAGGGCCGTGTTGTAGTGTCAAGTAACGCAGACTGTTCTTCACTCGTCTTCGTCCTCCTCTTCCTCCTCTCCGTCGGAGAGAGTTGGACAAGCGGCAAGCTGCCGGTAACCGTCCAGCCACTTCTCCACCATCTGAGTGACAAGCGGGTGGTTCCGCCTCCTGGAGCTCTTCTGCATGGCCACCAGAACCCCGCCCTCCGTAACACAGCAGTCCATCCACTGCCGCAGCATCCGCTCCTGCTGCTCCTCCGTCCCCATCTGATGGACATGCACAGTAACCAATCAGAGAACACGTCAACTTACATCAACAACAGCTTACAAAAACATGTCTTTTCCATTCAGTACAGAAAGGGGGCGATAAAAACAGTTATGCCAATTGCATTTTTTCTTGGAAGCAAAAATAGTATGGTGTTGAAATTTCAGGATTAAAAAAAATAAAAAATACAGATTATAGAATGAACTGTTTGAAATCAAAAAGTAGACATGCTTATTATTGAATGGTTAAGGCAAGACACCACAGGCAACACCATTGTTTTTGCTTCCATAATGGGGGAAGTCATGGCCTAATGGTTAGAGTCGGACTCGTAACCCAAAGGTTGCGGGTTCGAGTCTCGTACCGGCAGGGATTGTAGGTGGGGGGAGTGAATGTACAGCGCTCTCTCCCACCTTCAATACCACGACTGAGGTGCCTCATTTTAGATAGCAAGGCACCGAACCCCCAACTGCTCCCCGGGCGCCGCAGCAAAAAAATGGCTGCCCACTGCTCCGGGTGTGTGTTCACTGCTGTGTGTGTGCACTTTGGATGGGTTAAATGCAGAGCACTAATTCCGAGTATGGGTCACCATACTTGGCCATGTCACATCACTTTCACTTTAATTGTCCTCTTTCAGACTAGTGAAAAAAAAACAATACACATTTAAGTGTTTATTTTATTACACTTTTGCCTCTGTAGATTTAAATGACAATCAGTGCTATTTTAGTATTACTTAGGGACTATTATAGATTTTATTCATATTTTGAATTCATTTTTATTTTTATGTTTTTCATTTTTAGTTTTAGTATTTTTGTTGTGCATTTTTTACATTTTTAGTGTTTTTTTGGTAACACTTTACAATAAGGTTCCATTTGTTAACATTATTTGACAACATTAGTTAACAAACTAATAATGAAAAATTATTTTAAAGCATTTATTAATCTTATTAACATTGATTCCAACATTTAAATCAAAAGTATCTGTTAATGTTATTTAATGGACCCGAGCTAACATGGACTAACAATGAACAGCTGTACTTTTACATTTACATTTAGTCATTTAGCAGACGCTTTTATCTAAAGCGACTTACAAATGAGGACAATAAAAG